GACCAGGGCCGAGGGCAGGCACCTGCTCTGGGGCATCTATCAGAGGCAGCACAGCATCTTGAGTTTCGGGGCCACTGTCTAGTGGAGCCAAAGTTAACCCCTCAACCTCTGACATCGGCTGGCCCAACACCCATTCTTGTGTGGAGGGGCAGGCTCACTGGGCCCCACAGCCCTGTGGAGATTTCAAATGACACTCCAAAGGTGCCTCCCCTCAAGGCTGCAGGAAATCAAGGGGACTTAAGGAGGCCTTGGCCCAAGGAGCTGCTGCTGGGGGCAGGAGTCAGTATTGGGGTACAGAGGGATGCCAACACAAGGAGGCCTTGTTGGAGGAGAGCACCAAGTGATTTCTGTGGCCCCTGAGTGTGCTAGAGGACAGGGACACAAGCAGCCATCGAGCTGGGCATTCCCTCCTCAGATGGAGAGGAGGCTCAGGAGAGCAGAGGGGGCTCCAGTCACATTGCACGGAGTTCTATACATTCTATATGGTGAATGGCACCCCCTGGAGTTGTGCAGAGAGGGGGAGGTAAGGACAGACCCAGGAGAGCTGAGGAGGGGCTCTTGAATGGAAAGGAGAGAAAAGGAAGGACTCGGACTGGAACACCATGGTAGGGCGCTGGGCCTGACTCCAGGCCCTCGGGACTGGGGAGGACGCGCGGTAACTGGGAGACACTGTGAAGGGGTCTTAGCTCCCAGTTGCACTCACTTCACATCCTACCAGAGGGCAGTTCAGGGGTGAGATTTGCACCGGGAGGCAGAGAATTCTGCTCTTGCAGGATTGCCCCATCCCACAGGGACACGAGGACAGGCCTGAGCCATGCTAGACAGAGGCCCAGCAGGAGAGCAGGCGCTCCCCAGTTTCCCCACCCTGCCCCCACCGTGGGGGTCGAGTGGAGTTGTTGTTGTTGTTGTTGTTGTTGAATCCAGAAAAACACAACATTTAACGTCTATAAAGGTGCAGTATGAGTCATTTCACGGAATGTCTAGGCCCCTTTGCTGGCAGCAAACAAACTTTCCAGCCCTCTTTTGAGGAAGCCTTCCAACTGGGCTGCTGCCGCTGGTTTGTGTGTGAGAGTGTGTGAGTGTGTGTGGATCTGTGTGTGGGATGGGTCTCTGGAGGACCTTGCCTGCCTATGTGTGAGTCCGTGTGGGTCCCTCAGATGTGAGTGAGAGTGCAACCGTGGCTGGGGTGTGTGTGTGTGTGTCTGCACACACACATGCACGCACATGGGCTCGACTCTTGGATGCGAGTGTCAAGTCCCCTCATGCGTGCGCGTGTGTTTGTGGAGGGCGTGTGCATGTGTGTGTCTGCAAGGCGGTGTGGTATGTGAGCCTGTGCCTCACAGGGTGTCTACGTGTACATTTTTTTTCCACATCGCTGCCAAATTATCTTCCCATCTCTCCCCTCACGAAGTGAAGGGCTAGCTAAGGGAAGCTAGCGGTCTAAGTGGGGGGGCAGCTGCGGAGTGGAGGGGGTTGGAGGGAAACCAAAGCAATTCCACTCGTCGGAGGAAAGTGTCAGCCAAGGATGAAACTGAAACCGAGGCAGCAGCTCTAAGGCACCAGCACCCTGGGATCGTCCTGGGGCTTAGGTTCCTCCTACTCCCCCGCCTCCTCCAGCCGGCTATGGAGATTAGTCAGCCTGAAATTCCCATCCCTGCAGCCTCGACTTGGGGTTGAAGCAATGAGGCTGGTCTAGAAATTGGCCCATGGTTTGCACGTGACCCCATTAGCGCCCATTATCACATTAACACAAATTAGTATATCAGATCCTCTCCCCGTCACCTAGTGGAGCGCAGGGCCAGGCTGGAGGGAGAGGTCACAGTTCTGGGAGGAGAAGCCAGCATGTGAGCATCAAGGGAGGGGGCAGGCTGAGGACTGTGGCGGGTCAGGTTGGGGACAGAAGGAGGGCACAAGGGACATCAAGCTTTGACAATAGGATTCTTTGCCTAGGTTGTGCTCTGGGAGGAGACACCTTGAGGAGGGGGTTAGTAGAAAGGAGGGGGTTTCCAGGAACAGCTGGGCACCGCCCTGTAGGAAGGAGGCCCGGGCTCTGAGGTCTGGGCGGGAGACAGACGGTATTTCTCCTGGCACACAGGGAAACCTGGGAACGTTTAGGATCCTTTGGGTTTTTTTCCCCTTTCCTCTTCTTTATGGAAAATCCTTAGATAACTTTCTCAGATGGCTCTGGGCATCCTGCAAGCAGGGGAGCTGGACTGACTGACAGAGAAGAGGTATCCAGAACACTAGTACAGGGCAAAGCTTTTATATCTTGGCACAGATAAGGGTGACACACTCTACCTATGTATTTATATGTAAAGTTGTATCAGGGGAATAACCAGCCACTGGAGACTCTGGAAAGGGTGAGACTGGAGCCCCCGCCACTTTTTTTTTCAGCTTAAAGGTGTCTGACCACAGGTTATTTTTGTGCCCTGATATTCTCAATATGTTAACTATAAACAGCCACCACATAACCATGAACCAACACGGGAAGGTCAGCTGCATCATGACTTCTGGAGCTCAGGGCCTGCACCGAGGCAGGGCACAAAGCTCTATCAACCGAGACCAAGGTTGCAAGTTTGAGCCCTAAATGGGCCTCTTCGCTTTTTTTTTCTCACATAGCTGCTCGATCGACAAGCACGAAATCCCTGACCATCGCCCAAGGCTGAGTCCCTACCCCTCATCTAGTCCAAACTCTGGTCCCAGACTGCGCTCCAACCTAGGCCATAGTCTATCCCTGGGCAGGAGATGCAGTTTTGGTCTCAAGGGAGCCAGGCTGGAGAGTGGCTGTTCAGGGAAACCCACCCCTAATGCCCGAGACGCGACTCAAAGTTTCCATTCTACTGCCCGCGGGTCGAGAGCGCCATCCCCGGAGAGGAAACGCTGACCCTGAACCGCGATCCTTTAGTTGGGGGTGAGCCGCCCCGAGCTCTGCGGGGCCCGGGAGGTGGCCCGAGGGACCCTGAAGAAGCGCTCACCAGGCAGCCCCACTTCTGGACGCTAGCGCAGCAGGTCGGCTCTGGGGACTCTGCCGCCACTCGAGTGGAAGCGCCGGGTCCGGGCGGCAGTGGGGATTGTGGCGGCCCCTCCTGCCTTCCTCTCGCCGCCCCCTTGC